TTGTCAGTGGTGCCCGGCCACTTTACTTTATGTAAATTTCTGGTTTGTAATACGTAAGGCAACTTTATCTATGAACATTTATTAATTAATTCACTTATATTTGATGATTGCCTCTTAGATTGCATTCTTTTCTTAGTTTTTTGGCATTTGTGTGCCGCTTTTGTTTTTGCCTGGACTCGTGAGGCTCGTGAGGGTGTGAAAAATTTTTATATTCATAACCTTAAAGTCTAAAATTTTAGTGAGTTTAAATAACATAAAAAGATAACGAATTTAGGGAATTAGCCGGGGATCGACCCCGGGGTCGCATGCATATTTATGCATTACTCTTCCCTTATTTTAGACCCTTCCCCGCCTGCGGGTAGAGTCCGGATAGTCTGACCTATGAGGACGAGGTGCCGGACCTGGGGAAGCCTAGTCTTCTAAAAAATTATTTTCTAAGCCTATTTTTAAAATTTCAAGCATACTTGATTTGAGGTTGTCAACCAGCATGCATTTCATTAGATACAAATTAAAAGAGTCAAAATTTTAATTGCATTAGTCCTTAGCATTTTGCACCGAACATAAGTCAAGGGGGATCAATTAGGGAAATCTCTAGATGTCGGCCCCAACTCTCCAAAACCTTAAATATAACGTCCCTACCACTCTTTCATAAAAGACCAGACTCATGTATTTTAAATAGATTAGGTGGTTAGCTGGCTCCCCAATCCAGGCCGGGGTAAGTCCAGACCTTGCAACTCATTAGTTAGGATCGAACGACTGTGGTCCAGTGTCCAAAATAGATTTAGGATCCGGGGCAGATCTTTGATTATAAGACCCCAAATTTCGGGAATATAATCCCAAATTTCTAATAAAATGCTCAACTCAAATTAAATCTTCTTTCAATCCTAAAATATAAAGCCCAACACTTAGATTAAGTTGGGACACTTCCGGATGGTTATGGAATCTCAAAGTGTCCCCTACTCTTCTCCATTTGATTTTGTTAATAACTGCTCAATTTTAATCCATTCCCTTTTGAGTTTCCAAAATTCACTTCTCTTTTTGATATCACTCCTAGAAAATCTAACAAAATTCTGCCACCATTTTAATCGGGAGTTTTTGTAGGAGATTCTATCTACCTACGATATAATTAAATACGAGGGCTTGCGCTCGTAGGAGATTTGGAACCACACATGCACCTGATTTTAAAATTGATTTTTTCCAAAACCCCATTAGATTTCTTTGGGAAGAAGATAAAAAATGATTGTCGTTATTACATTAGGAGGATTATCATCGAGTGTTGTTATCTCCCTTCTGGGAGATACATCCTCTCTGATAAGACTCTGAATGTGAATTCGACGATCATATTTCTTAAGTATTATAATTGGATATTTAGTCAAATTTCATTATGTTCCCTCGGGATCATATGAAATTTTTCTTTAAAATCTGATCATAATATTTAAGGTGAGTTCCATAATTCTAAGTCTGAACACTGCTACAAAATTTTATTTTCATCCTCCAAGGTGATATAATTTTTCTAACGGGTCGATTCGACTTTAGAATTAGAATTGAATCTAAATTTTAAATCCCCAAAGAAAACTAATATTTTCAAAACACGTTTTCCAAAAATTCCACCAACATAGGTCTATCCATTTTCTTCATAATCCTCTTACAGTAGTTTTATGAACTCAGCTAATGGTATTATTTATCCTTCATTGCATGTGTTCTAATTAATTAAAGCCTTTTTTAGAACATTTCTTTTTCAATGGATGTCACTCTAATCTCTAATAACTTCATATAGTTTAGATGAAGTGCATGATTTTTTTTAACATCGATTCACGCCATAGCCCATAATGATGATGCACATCGTTAACATTTATTTTAAAACGTAACCCTATCATCAAGATTTATGTTAGACTTTTTTTTTTGTCTCATCTCCTCATCAGCACATATTATATACTCGAAATGGCTAGTTCAGCGATGGTTTCTCTCTCAGTCCCTTTGGGGTGTGCAAGGGCTTCACCCTAGCAGCCTCTTATGGCTCTATCTAGCACCTGGATGTGTCATTTTGCTCTGCCTCTCTCGTTTGACGGTGCTCCTCGCATGCTTCAGGGAAGTTCCTTCTTCTCTTATTTTCTGATTTCGCTGTTGTTTGTTATCTGTTTGGATTTATGGAACATCCTCATTTTAGAGATCCTGGTTTTTTGAATGCATCTTCCTCTCTTTATTTTAAAGATGCTTTATCTGGTGTGTCTTCTTCTTCCATCTCTTTTCCCGACCTTAATGTTTCTTCCCATCTGGGTGGGCCGGCCTTCTGGATTTTGGAAGCGGAAATCCTTTCTCTTGTTGTTCCTTTCGAATTCGCTATAGTTGGTAAATTCCTTGGTCGATGGCCATGTCTTGATGTTATTAGGAATTTCTTCTTCAATCTCAAACTTAATGGTGATTGTTTTGTTACTTTTCTTAACCAACGGAATGTGTTGATTAAACTCTTTAACAATATGGATTATTGTAGGGTTTTTGCTCATAGGTCTTATTTTGTGAGTAATTGCTATATGAAATTGGTTAAGTGACTACTTCCCTAGACATTGAGGTTGAATAGTCTGTCATCCCTATTTGGATCTCATTTCCTAATCTTCGGCCTCACCGTTTCGCTCTGCATATTCTTAATGGCCTTGGCTCCATTTTTGGTAAACCCTTAAAGATTGACAATGCGACCTCCTCTAGGTCGCATCTGTCTGTTGCTCGTGTTTAGGTTGAAATGGATGTTTCCAAACAATATCCTAATAAAATTTGGATTGGCCCAAATAATATAGGTTACTTGCAATATGTGATTTTGGAAGATTTTCTTGAGTATTGTGCGCTTTGCTATTCTTTGGGTCCTTCGAAGGTTGATTATCGAATTTTGCATCATCACCTTGGCTCTTCTGCTTTGCCTCCGCCTACTTTTAAAGTTAATAATATATTGTGTGTGGGTGGGAAAGTCGTTCGTGTGCTTCCTGGCCTTGCGGAGGTTTCGTCTGATCCTGTGGTTGTGGCCCCTGTTGGCCTTGTTTGTGAGGACTCTGGTTTGAATGAATTAGCTGTGGAGTTGGATATTGTTGTGTCGGTTGAGGCCAAAAATTTAGAGCTGAAGGTGGTATCTAATATGTGTTGGTTTCAGTTTCTCCTTTGAAGGGTGACGAGATTATTGCGCCTAATCCTAATGTTGATGCGGTTGATGAACCTCGCAATTGCTTAACTAATCAGGTAGTTTGTACTAGTGATATTCATGTTCCTATTGGAGACGTTAATGAGGGTGTTATTTCTCTGTCTGTTGACTCTGGGGATGACTCTCCTGCATGGGTCAAGGGGTGATCATTTTTCGGAGGGACTGGATTCTTCTGATGTTATGTGTATTGGGGTAGAGTCTTATTGTGCTAGGGGACATTTGGTGGATGCTCCTCTAACTGTTGTCTCTAGTACTGGCTTGCTGGCTCATCTTGCAGGTGGTAGCGCTTTGGAGCAATGTGATTAGTTAGATCTTAATGAGGGTTTTTATTCAAACGGTGGGGAGGAGACGAATGAGTTAGCTTTGGGTGATCTTCTAATTGCAGATGATTGCTTTCTTAAAAAGAATGATAAGTCTAGATATCGTAAGGCCAAAAAGAAATGATCTTTCTTTTGGGTCTTTGCCTGGCTTTGGCTTTGTTGGGTATTTTGGATTTGCTTTAAGTGAAGTCAAGGTCATCCCAACAAATCATAGCATTATTGGAGGCTTAATATTTGAATATGATCAACTTGAAGCATATTCAAAATTCTTTTCATTAAAGTCTCACTCAAAAATTTAAATTTTATCCAAATGGGCAAATTTTATTGGAGACATAAAAAGCGAGACTTACAATTATTGAAAGTTCAGAAGAAAGATTCCATCTTCATACCACAAAACATTCATTTGAATATTAAGCATGAAGCAACCTTTTTTTTTCTTTTTAATTTTATATTATGCAATTTTTACGTGCATCTTTTCCTTATTAACTATGTATCTTGGACTCAGCACAGAATATTTTCTTTCTGATTTTGGCGCCAATAGTCACAATTGCACGGCTTCAATGAATTGGACTTGTGGAATATAAATGAATAAAATATTATATTTAATTTTATTTATATTTTTATTACACCATAATAATATTTAATTAAAATTGTTATTATAGTTAACATAAAATTAATATATGATAAATTTCAAAAGATAATTATATCGAGATCAATATATTAGAAGCGGTGTTCAATTTTGTAATATTCAAAATTTTTGTTTTAAAAAATATTGATAGAACTGAAGTCAATGTCTTTGTTGGTCCTCATACCTGTCAATATTGGACCCGACCCGAAAACTCGACCCAAAAATTTCGGGTTTGGGTGGACCCGAACTCGAAGCAGGTCGGGTTTGGGTCTGAAAAATCAACCCGTTTACAAAACTGGGTCGGGTTCGGGTTGACCCGGGAACCCAAAATGACCTGAAATCTCGTCTGCCCGAGTCTGCCCAGCTGCCCTGCCTGCCCCACGTCACATCGAGTTGCATGGCACTTGCAGCCTGCTGTCGAAGTGTCGCGTCGCAACTCCGTGTCTACGCTTGCCCGCGTGCCCCACTTGCCCCACGCTGCAATGAATCTGACTGCACCAGCGCATCGCACCACACCACTACACTGAATTACGTGACCTGCCTGAGTCGCAATCAACCCGCCAGTACCATCGTCGCTGCACCGCACCGTTGCCGCTACCCCGGGCGTGAGAAATTGAAATAAACGAACCCGAATAGTACCAGGTCAGTTCTGAGTCCGACCCATGACCCGAAATTGACACCCCTATTGGTCCTTTCATGATTTTGTTTTAGTTTCCTATTATCATCTACATTATTGGAGGTCTAATGAAAGACCTCTGAATTGACTTGGCCTATGCTAATAACTGAAAATCCATTATTTCATCTTCTCTTAATAATCTCCAATCCACATTAAAGCTTCATTGATTCTTAAGCTAAGGGTTTGGAAATGGAAGGAACAACTTCTTCGATCGTCTCCAATCTATTGTCTTCCTTGGAAAGGTTATCTCAGTTTATGCCTATCTTTAGTTCAATAGCTGCATCTTCCTCTTCATCCATAGCACAAGAAGATGTAATTGATGCTGAAGTTAATTCGATCAAAAAAAGATTAATGGAGGATTTGAGCCGATTGTCGAGGATGTTGCATAGAATTAAGGCAGTCCTTTATGACGCCGAGGAGAGGGAGATCTATGATAAGGCTATCCAGCTCTGGCTCAGTGAGCTTAGAGAAGTTGCTTATGATGCTGAAGATATCTTAGATCAATATGATTATTAAGTCATCAAAGCCCAATTGTAAGGAATGAGAGCTGCAGCTGAGGCAAAGCCTTCTCTAAAGTGGAAACAAGTGGATGATGATGATATTTATGGCTATCAGGTAGGTCTTCTACACCTCAATTCAATTAAACTTCTAGTTATTAGAAATTGAGTGGATATGTTTATCAATATGTTGATCATGCATGAAAAATATGATCAGGTATCACTACCTCCCTCAAATTCAATTAAAATTCCCATTTCTTGCAACATGGCCATGAGGATCATTGAAATCATAAAGAAATTTGATGAGATTGCACATGATAGAAAAGCGCTTTATCTTAGAGGAGAAGATGCACCTTGGAAGCCTCGTTTCAATGATGTTATGAAGAGGCCAAAAAGTAGTTCTCTTGTGCTTGAATCTGATGTTTTTGGAAGGGAGGAGGAAAAGAGAAAGATAATTCATTTGCTAATGTCTCATTCAAAGAAGGAGAGCATTGTAATTCCCATTGTTGGCATGGGGGGTGTGGGAAAGACGACACTTGCTCAACTTGTATATATAAAATGATCCTGAGGTATGCTAGCATTTTAGTCCAAAGGTTTGGGTTTGTGTCTCCGAACAATTTGATGTTCTGAGAATAACAAAAGAAATTGTGTCATCCATTGTGGATTCATCCAAGTACAAAGATAATTATAACTTGAATTACCTTCAATGCAAACTCAAGGATGCATTATTAAATAAAAAATCTCTTCTTATTCTTGACGATGTTTGGAATGAGAGAGCAGATATATGGGAGGCCCTACAAGCCCCCTTTTCTAGTTTTGGAGTGGGAAAAATTATTATAACAACTCGTTCTATGTCAGTTGCTCACATCATGCAAACGGCATCCCCACTTCAGCTTGAATGCTTGCATAAAGAGAAGTCATGGTTATTGTTCCAAAGACATGCTTTCTATGGTTGGGAGCTTGATCAACAACTGGATTTTGAACAACTTGGGAGGAGAATTGCTAAGAAATGTGGTGGATTACCATTGTCTTTAAAAGTTATTGGGGGATTTCTACGAAATGAATTTAAGGAGCAAACATGGAAGGATGTGTTAAACAATAATTTATGGGATCCCAAAGAAATTATTTTGTCTGCACTAAGAATAAGCTACAATCACTTGCCATCATATCTTAAACCATGCTTTCTCTATGCATCTCTATTCCCAAAGGATCATTACTTTAAGAAACTAGAATTGATAAGAATGTGGATTGGTCAAGGTTACATTCAGCTTACATAAAGAAAAAGTTTATTGGAAGATATTGCAGTTGAATACTTTGATGACTTGGTGAGCAGGTCATTCTTTCAAGGCTCAACACGTGAAGGATTCGTTTTGCATGATATGGTGCATGATTTAGCTCAAACTACAACTAGAAATGAGATATGTTCTTCATTAGATTTTGATGAATTGAAGAACATCCCCAAAGATGCAAAGCATATATTCATAGAAGACGCAATGGTTGATCAAATTCTTCAACTTGAGAATATAAGAACAATTTACATTTATGGATTACATTACATCAAAATAGTTGTTCTAAGATTGTATTCTCTCATATGGGCTGCTTGCGTGTTTTGAGATTTCATGCACCTTTTTTTGAATGCAGCTCTGAATGTATAGATTCGATTGGTTACCTGCAACAACTCCGTTATCTCTATATATATGCATGGGAAATCCATATGGCAGAGAACTCATTATGTAGCCTTTACAAGTTACAAACACTAATACTCCAATCAAATTATATAAATATGCTACCCCATGCAATGGGAAAACTTATCAACTTACGCCACTTGATGATTAGTGCAAGCAACAATCAAGCACTGGTGCGGAAATCATATTTCGGGAGTAAAAATATCCTTTCTTCTAGTTTTAATGAGGTAAGAAATGAATTGTTTGCATCAACATATCACGTAAGAAGAGATGGCCCATATTCTAGTATTAGATGGTTGAAAATCCTAACAAATTTTTACAAAGAAGTCTAAAGCTTTATGGGCTTGAAAATGTGATCGATCATGAAGATGCAAAAAGTGCCAATTTGCAAAATAAGCCATTTGTCGAGAGCCTAACACTTATATGGAATTGTCATGAATATGTTGAATGTGCAAGGAAAGATAAAGGTATTCTTGAAGGCCTCCAACCCAACACAAACCTTAAAGAGTTAACCATAGATGGCTACAATAGTAGCAGCTTCCCAAGTTGGATTGGAAATTCTCACTTCTCCAATTTAACAAAAATAATGTTGATAAATTTCTACAACAATGAAGAATGCAAGTTTCTTCCTCTGTCTAAGCTACCATCCCTCAAATCACTTATAATTTTTTATAATAAAGGGATAACTAGAATGGGGCCAGATTTTTGGTGTTATAATGCCCCTCCTAATTGCCTTGAGAATTACTCTATAGAAGCGCATTTGGATTTTCTTTCATTTGAATATCTGACAAGTAAAAGTTTGCTTGAATGGAAAGAGCGGCCAATGGAGAAGAATGGAGATTTCTCGAGCCTTAAGTATTTACAGATAAGTTATTGCCACAATTTGCGACATATATTAACCCTCCCATCAAGTCTTGTGGAAATTTTGGTAGACAGTTGTAAAAGACTTGAATATATTGCACTTCATTATAGCTCGGGACATCTTTCTATGCTTCAAGTAGTGAACATTCTTTATTGTCACAATCTCAACTCAGTGATCAACTTAAATAATCTTCTTGGCACTCTTAAAGTTTTGAGGTTAGATCATTGTAATCAACTCAAGCCCGATTTAGATGAAGACTTTGATCATTCATTTGGAAGAGTTTTATTTGAAGAAGGCTTTGCACGTGTAATTGAATGTCCAGGGATGAGAGAGTGGTGCCAATGGTATGGTTTCACCTATCATGATAAGGTACGTATATGAAACTATTCCAATACATAATTTAGTCATATTAATTCAGCTATTTCAATATATTCTAACATTACTAACTATTACTACTTATATTAATTCTGTATTTAAAAAACTCAAATGAAGATTCTAGTAGTATTCTAACATTACTAACTATTACTACTTATATTAATTAATTGTGATTAAAAAAACTCTAACAGTACTATTCTAATTTTTTGCAGCATCAGAACTTCTTTGGTCGGCCTTCGATTCAGGATTTGGTTGGTTATCTCTTCTCTATAATAAGCCTCCTTTTTATAATAAATCTATCTAAATAAATCATTTAAAAGTTTTTTTTTTCCTTATATATTCGATGAAGATCTTTGGACTCATTTGATTGCCTGCAGGGGAAGAAAAAAAAAATTGTTTATGAAAATAATAACTTTATTTTTGCTATCAATAAAACAATCGTCCTAAAAAATGAAAAATCAAAATATAATTTCCAAACTTTAATTAACAGAATAAATTAATGAATCCTTATAAACTTTGATTATGAAGTGTAAGTATATTAACATTGCTACTACTTTAACTATGGATAACATATTTTAATTATTACAAAATATTTATTATTAATATTATGGTATGAATTTGATTTTCTTTAATTTAGCGTAACTAATTTCTTTTATTTTTATTTAGTTTAGCCAAATATAATTTCTAACCACCAATTAACCAAATTAGTTAATGAATATTGATATAGTTTGATTATGAAGTGTAAGAATTTTAACATTGCTATTATTTATATTAATTAACTATGTAAAAAAAATTCTAACACTAATTCCAATGATTTGCAGGATTCCAAGGATTGCTCTTCCAACATGGTATGTGTATGAATTTTAAGCCTTGCTTGAAAATTAAAAATCAATGAGATTTATAATTTTATTAATATTTAAAATATATTTTTTGCATGCTTCAATCAACCAAATTAATTAAAGAACCCTTAGTTTGATATGAATCGAGTTTAATTATGTTAACATTGCTACTATTTTAACTATGAATAATATATTCTAACACTGATACTTTGATTCTAATGATTTGCAGAGTCCGAGATGACGCTCCATGTTGGGAAAGGTTGTGTAGCCTAATTATTTTTAAATATTTAATTTTGACATTATGGTTTGAATTTGATTTTCTTTAATTTAGCCTAATTAATTTCTTTAATTTTCTTTATTTTAGCCAAATTTTTAATATAGCAATTTTAGCACTGCTACTACTACTTTAACTATGGATAACATATTCTATCACTAATACTTAACATTCTAATGGTTTGCAGATTTCATTTCAGCGCATGGTCAAGGAGTTCCGTCAAAAGATAAAGGTTATGTTGTAGTTCACTTAGCCTTTCCAAAATAAATGATTGTAAAATATTTATTTTTGATATTATGGTATGAATTTGATTTTCTTTAATTTAGCATAATTAATTTCTATTATTTTTCTTTAATTTAGCCAAATTTTTGAAGTACTACTTTTAAGCATGCAACTAGTAAATATGAAACCTACATGCTCGTTATAGGAATTTTTATTACGTCAGGTGTCCTGCGTAGCTCTACATTCGGACGCCAATAACATGTCGCCACGTGCTCCTACTCTTTACCGCGCGGCCCGACGACCTAACCCGGACCGGAACCCAGTATTGATATGTTCATGTATTGCTAGGTACGTATTGCTCGGTATTGCTAGGTATTGCTCAGTATTACTAGGTATTGCTTGACAATAACGAGAAATACCGCTCTATCAAGACCAATACCGAACAATACCTAGCAAAACCAGAGTATTGCTCGATATTGCTCGGTATTACTCGGTATTGCTAGGTATTGGTCTTGATATAATGGTATTTCTCGTTACCGAGCAATACCTAGCAATATCCCGGTCTGCACAAATCAGCAAATACATAGCAATACCAGGTCCATGTCCGGGTCGGGTCGTCGGGCCGCGCGGTAAAGAATTGGAGCACGTGTCATTATTTTACTGCGTCCGAACATAGAGCTACATCAAGACACCGAATGTAATAAAAATTCCTCTTTATAGAGGTCAAAGGAAGTGACATGAATTTTATATTGGCATATATGTTGAACTCTTCCATTGTATGTTTTATTTTTTAGGACTTTGCTTCTAAGCTTGTAGCCTTTCCACGATCATTTTCTGAAACTAATGCCCGAGTACTATTCTATATTTTTTTAAGAAAATACTGTAAAATTAAATGATATTATTATGTATGGAGATAATTGAATATTAATTAAATACATAGAAAAATATTTGAATATATATGCATATAGTTGATCATTTTCATTTAGGTAATTGCTGTTTTCTTGGAGCTGGTAGTGCTTAAAGTAACCTGTCGCAATTTCAACTAATTAGTATTATTAACATGAAAAAAATGCGGGCAAAAAACTATTGCATGTTCAACTAATTAGTATTATTAACAGGAAAGAAGTTTGAGAATTGCTCTTTTTGTCTCCCTCCATCAATTAATAAACCTATATATAGTATGATATAGTTTGCTTACAAAAATATCCTTGCTATCGCAAATGCCACTGATTACACATACCCACAGTCTCAGAAGGCTATAGAGCATTTAAAGGAATTTTAACATTGCTACTACTTTAACTATGGATAACATATTCTAACACTAATAATTTGATCCTAATGTTTTGCAGACCGGTAGTATTTGAAAGAGGAAATAATCAGCTGTGTTGGAGCTCACTAAGTCTTACGGTCCTTCCTATAATAAGCCTTTCCAAAGTATATCATTGTAAAATATTTATTTATGTTATTGTGGGAGGTGTTATTTTCTTATGTGAGACTATAATTCCTCTTTATAAAGAGGTTTAAGAACATATTAGATAGCTTTAGTTACAGTGATTCCGTAACAATCAGAAACAAATATGAACTTTGCTTGTCTTCATAACTTGACATAATTTTGTAACCATTACGATGATTTTGGCGAGGTTATCATGTTCTGTGATTCCGTAACAAATGCATCCAGCTTCTTTTGCACCCATTCATTTCCCTTCCACCTCTTCTTATCTTTGCTTCATTGAATAACAAATGTTAAAACAAAATAATAACTGCATTAATCTCTTCAATTCAGAATTTTTGATTTATGAAAAGTTGCATATATAATGTATAGATTGTATTCATTCTAACTCTCACAACAAGTATTAATTATGGTAGATCTTTTGGGCTGGGGTTATAGGCCATTTGGTTATTTTTCTGCTAGTTTTTTTCATGGAAGTTATACTGGGCTGGCTCATTGGTATATGATTAATTTTATTGTTGGCCGTTGATTTTTTCCGGGCAATAATGTGGCTGGGGCTTGCTTCTCAGT